GACTAAACAGGGCTGCAGCTCACATTGCCCCAGCATCTATGCTTGTGATACAGGGGATGCTAAGGTGAACCCTGGGTGGTTGGGGAAGAACATTTTGTGTGAAACACACATTTACACTCAAGTATGAATTGACTGTGTTATGTAGTGGCCGGAATGTTTTTCGTTATGGGTTTATGCTCCTCAGTTCATACAAAAAGTTCTTTATATAATGAAGAATATAGATTCAATTGACTTACTCCTGCACTCTGCTTTATATGGACCATCTACACCAGGGCTATCTGTGAAACTGCTATAAGTTACATGAAAGAAGATATTCCAAGGAATTTGGGCAAAATCTCTTCAATTTGCACAAAAATCTATGGAGCTTCAGAATGCCATGTTAAAGTTTTCACTAAACAGACCAACACATTTTGGGTACAGCTTTTCTAAAAAGAGAGAGTAATTACATCTTCATCTCTTTCCAACTCAAGGCCTGCCTGCATAAGGTTACTTTCATACTCCTCTCTGCGAAATCTCTTGTCATCTTCATGGTAGTCCATGTGGGGTTCACTTTCATCCACATTAATCTGCCCTCCTTTTCCAGGAAGTGGCTGCTCTTGTTTGATGCTTCGAGGTGGCAAGTCACTGAAATTGATGCGGCGGGTGAGCGTTCTGCTGAAAGAGGACTTCTTGTAGTGGTAAACCAGGATATAATCCACTTTCCTTTTCCCATCTTTAAAATAAAGGCCATATTTGCAGTTGGCATCTGGATCTTGTGACAAGGAATTTAATATCTATAAATGAAAGAAAAGAATGGATGTTAAATAGTATATTGACTTAAAGAATTAAAAACAAAAAAAAAGTTAATCCCTTTCAACCACAGCAGGAGAAACAGCTTTATGGACAATCTTACCAGAGAATGAAGAAAATACTGAACGTTGATACTTAAAATGTTATTGATTCATTAGTCAGAAGATTTAGCAGTCAAAAAAAAAATCTATCTAGTAGACATAAGATAATTGAAAGAACTAGTTTGTGACAATATATTGACACAAAGTGACTTGCCTCTTGCTTTTAGTTCAGTGAACTCGTCATGGGACATAACCCCTTGGATTGTGACCTTAAGTTACCACATCCTGAAAATAATTAGCTGGCTTTTCCACCCCTAAAAGATTTGTGCAGATAGTCTGAATGTTAGCACCAATGCTTTGTTACACCAGCCTGTGCGTTCTCTTGCTCTCTGTGATTTAAAGATAGCTGAGATCATTTGCCCTCAACCAAAGGCATTTATGTTTTACTTTTGACAAACATTAATATTATATTCAAACATTTGTCACTTCTCGGCATCATCTGAAAAAGGGATCAGCTGTAACAGAGACAGGAAGGAGCCACCTGGCCCTAGAGCTCAGCCAAAAAAAGTCAGTGGACTGCAGCCAGAGAGGGACCAAGGTTCTAGTTTTTTCCTTTGTTCATGACTTTTTTCTCATGGAAAATTAGAATGGAAATGCAGCTCTCTCACCACATCCGCTACAGCCTCATCATATCAAGAAGTGGATATTGAAATTAAAACTTGAATGGTTATGTAGTGTCAAATATTTTAATGCACTGCATTGTTGCAAAGATATATACCTCTCAAAAGCTATGTTTCTAGATGGAAGGGGACATTTGATTGTGTATCCAGTTTCGCATTCTGCTGAAAGTGATGCAATTAGGGTCATGCAGCCTTAGGGAGGTACTTCAGGATGTGCATATGACAAGTCATATATCAGTTAAGGAGCTTCGTTTCCTGTAACTTAAAGGAAGCTACAAGTCAGGGTTGGGGATTTTTTCCAGCCCAAGGGACAAATTCTCACCAAGAAAATTTCAGGGCATACATGCCAGCAGTACGCAAACCCCGAGCCAAAACTGGCTGCTGCCACCCCACACTCAGGGCAGAGGTTACAGACACTCTCTAATGAGAGCTGAAAATGCATTAGTGTGGGAAAGCTGTGCTTGAGGCTGTCTTTCATGTCTGAGAAATCAGATGTCAAAAGAATCCTATACTTAAATCTTGAAGAGCAATCACTAAACAAAGCATGTCCATGTGCAAATTTTGGGAAATGAGGAAGGCCACAGGCTGTAAGAACCCTGAGAGAGGATTTCTCTTCTCTTAATTATGAGTTACTTATTTATATTTATTTATTTAAAATATTTCTATCCCACCTTTCTCCCCAAAAGGACTCAAGGTGGGAGTTAATGTCTGTTTCTCTCCTTCTCTCTCTCACTATTCACATATACGTCAGCAAGACTTCTTGCAATTCATACTGTTCATACATACACCTGTCATACTGTCCTTCCAGCCCTACCTTCTCTATTGATCCATACAGTTCAACTGAGAGGAAACATTCTTCCTAGTCACTATTGTGGAAGACCTCCTTAGCCACTATTCTCTATCAAACTCCAATCAGATTTCTAGCCTGCCAGCACTGAATGAGACTTCTTCTGTCTCGGAACTGGTCAAAGGATACAGTTGTTTTCCAGTCAGCTGTGCTGTAGTTCAGAGATAAAACAGTATCTTTGACCATCACCAAGACAGGCTAGCGCTTCAAGCATTTGGAAGAGTAGGCAGTTTTATCTGTAATCGTCTGCTGGTTGGAGACAAGGCTTTTTCCTTGATGAAAGGGGCATACCCTGCGAGAGGTCTATCCCACCTTTCTCCCCAAAAGGACTCAAGGTGGGAGTTAATGTCTGTTTCTCTCCTTCTCTCTCTCACTATTCACATATACGTCAGCAAGACTTCTTGCAATTCATACTGTTCATACATACACCTGTCATACTGTCCTTCCAGCCCTACCTTCTCTATTGATCCATACAGTTCAACTGAGAGGAAACATTCTTCCTAGTCACTATTGTGGAAGACCTCCTTAGCCACTATTCTCTATCAAACTCCAATCAGATTTCTAGCCTGCCAGCACTGAATGAGACTTCTTCTGTCTCGGAACTGGTCAAAGGATACAGTTGTTTTCCAGTCAGCTGTGCTGTAGTTCAGAGATAAAACAGTATCTTTGACCATCACCAAGACAGGCTAGCGCTTCAAGCATTTGGAAGAGTAGGCAGTTTTATCTGTAATCGTCTGCTGGTTGGAGACAAGGCTTTTTCCTTGATGAAAGGGGCATACCCTGCGAGAGGATCATGGCCTGAGAAGGACGTTTGTCAGCTGGATGGGAAACTTCCAGTTTGTAGGCTGGACATTTCCCATTTCTGCTTTAGGCGGAATGAGAAATTAACTTTAATGTGGAATTTTCTTCATTTCACTGCAGCTCAGGAGTCGAAAAATTGGGCTCAGATAAAGCAAAAATGCTGTTCTTCTGCTTCCACCATGGCTGAGAAGAAAAGTAGAGGTTATCCTAGGTTTCTGTGATTTGTGTAAGGGAATGTGTCCAATCTCATTTAGTAAAAATAAAAAATAAAAAAATACCCATTCTGCCCAATTCTGGGCACCTTCTGAGATTACCTCCAATCTGTATGTGAGAAAGCTGCTGCAACATAGGTTATCTGTGGTCTACTTAATAATGATGGGAAGTAGAGGTCATACAGAAGGAACCTACTATGTGAACCAGTACTAGAGGATGTGAATCTTGCAACCTCTTACTTTTCACAAGAAATCAAGAAAAAAACCCTCCTTTTTTTCTCTCTTCACAGCAGGATTGCTCTACAAGAGATTTTTTTTTCCCCTCATGGGAAATCTCACATGAAATGTTGTGGCATTTCTTAAAAGTTTATGGGCATTGCTTTCCTAGAAGATACATCAGGCTATACAGGATTACTACAACTCCTGTGCAGAATGGTATCTTTCCTGCACAGAATCCATGTGGAAGGGAAGGAGAAACACCAAGCTGCACAGTATTATATCAATTCTTGCACAAAATCATTTATATATAATTTTATCTCTATCTCTATCTCTATCTCTATCTCTATCTATCTATCTATCTATCTATCTATCTATCTATCTATCTATCTATCTATCTATCTATCTATCTATCTATCTATCTATCTATCCATCCATCCATCCATCCATCCATCCATCCATCCATCCACACACACACACATATATACATATCCAGCACTAACCAATCACCACTTTCAGCCTTTGAATTCAAATAAAGCCCTGCCTCTCTGCTGAATGCTCTTTCTCTTTATTTTCCGGGTTGATGGTACTTGTTTTTTCCGCCATTGATCTGTTCAGTTGGTTGCCAGCATGGATGCAGTAAACAAAGCACCATACACCAGTCTGTACTTTTAAGCAACTCTAAGTAAAGAAATGTTTTTGTTCTTTCTCTTACAAATGCCTCAGAGTGAGTTAATGAGTCTCTAAGTGCCAGTTAATGAGAAAGGGGAATGTGTAGGAATTCTCTTATGTGACTCTTTGTATTTCTACTGTGTAGCCAAAAGAATTTTTTTACCAGAAATTCAAAGCTCTGCAACAATCTCACAGTATTTTAACTCAGAATTAACCAAAACATCACACTCCAAATGTTTTAATGTCCCAGCTTTCTTCACCATTGGTTATTCTGGCTAGGGCTGATAGGAGTTGTAGTCTAATAAAGAACAATATTTTGCTCAATACTGCTATAGCTAGCTATGGCTTGTGTCTGTAGGATGCCCTTCCCAAATTTTGGGATAAGGCACATCCCTGTCCCATTTCACAAGCTGCCTGTGGTACAAACCTATAGCCAGTTAAATGTAAATCTAAAACAGAAAGGCAGACCCAAGAAAATGGTAGTGTAAACACATGATACAAGTTTCAGAAATCAGTGTAAGCAACTGTCCAAGCAACTATCAGAAAACAGATCACTCAGCACATGCTAAGCATTTGAAAGGAATATAGCCTGTGAAATGCTAAATCACAAAGTGTTAATTGAGCTAATGTTCTCAAATGCAGTTGTCAAGTTCAGTAAATAGGATAGATGGGATACCTTAGGACCACCAGGGTTGCGCCATGGATTATGAAGAATTTGCCTGGGTTAGGTTGCTAATTCTATTACTGATGTTCCAGATCTGGATCTTCATGTATAAACCCACTTTTTCTTAATTAAACAAAGTACTCTGAATTATTCCTTTATTAGGCTATAAGAGGAAAGAAAACCATGTATGCGTCCAAGTTTGCATGTGTGGTCTGTCTCCAGAGACCACTTCTCTACAAATCTGACTGTAATATAAAGAACAGATGCTTCCTTTTCAGAGGGGAAAAAAAATATCCAATGCGGCTTCTTGTGCCATTTCTGAAAGATGTCATGGCCTCCTGATCTGCAAAGTGTTTTGTTCAAGAGCTTTTAACAAGTTCTCTTGAGTGAGTGTTAACTGAAGTGACTAAATTCCTTTCATTTCAGTGTAATTAGCTGAATTCTTAAAATTGTGCTAAGCCACTAAAGAAATATGAGGATTGCACTAAAGGCCAAATGAGACATTAAAAGAGAGAAGGAACTTCTAATAATACTGTGCTTCTTCGCTCTGTTTTCTGTTTAGTATGTCAGAAAAAAAAAGTGAGGCAAGATGTCACTGCCTGCTCATCTCCCTCCCTATTTGTTGATTGGGAAGGAGCAGGAAAGAGAGAGAGAGACAGCCTTGTCTTTACAGGGATCCTGATAAAACTTGTCTACTCCAAAGGCTGGGATATGGAGCATTTTTTAAAAAACTGCACTTCTTTTTCATTTTAAAGTTTCACTAGTCTTGCTTTTACATTTTTGTTCACTTTTGTTTGTAATTAGGTCATTTAAAATTTGTTTCCCAGTTGCTTTCAATAGGATAGTCAGCAGTGTTCTGGTCTCCTTGAATGGATTTTCCTGTTGGAGTCATGAAATGAGCAGGATGATAGTTTATGTAGTCACAAGTAATTAGGATAGCAAATAGAATTAGAGAAGTTAAAGAAGTCAGCCACACACAAGGATGTCTGCCAGCAGTGCTCCTGATGGGTGACTAGTAGAAGAGGACCTCAAATAAGACGACTGCCCTGCCCCCAAGAGGACTGTGTTTCTTAACCTTACAAGCTCACAGATAGTTCACAGTATACAGATCATTTGCAGAGTTCAGATAGGACAGTGGTTACATAATGCCATTATGATTGGCCCAAGGAAAGGCAATTAAGCAAGCTCTCTATCACCTATGAGAAAGAAGAAGAATGGGTAGCAGCTCCTCCCAGAAGCAGCTGTGACATCATCCAGGAGAGTGTGCTCTACTACTGTAGAATCAGCAAACAGCTTAGCAACTTTGGCGAGGAACATTCCCCCACATTTTCCATTCAAGTGGTATGAACTTGCCTGATTTCTACTATATACCCTCTTATCTTCCACATTTAAGACTCCAGTTTTTATACACCAGAACATATTTCATGAAGATCTCATGACTGCTAAGAGGTGCCTAGAGAAGACTTCCTGTACTTTTTTTGTTCTCCATTGAAACCACATGACATTTCAGGCACTCCCTTGAGATGTTGAACAGCATTGCCTCATCTTATAGGCTATTTAAACAACAATATGGAGATAAGGATCTAAAGGAGCCATTTTCAATGGGGGGTGGGGGTGGTCTGGAACATTTGAAGGAGGCCACAGACTGGAAACAGTTCTTCACACACGACCTTGTAAAGTTCATTATGTGATATATACAATCCTGATTTGGCTTACTTTTCTTTCATAAAATCAAGCCAGGGGGCCCTTTTGAAAGAGCTGTCCCTCAAGAAGGTAAGAGGGATGGCTTGCAGAGAAAGGGCCTTTTTGGCAGCTACCTCCAGACTATGGAACACCCTCCCAACTGAGATTCATCTGGCGCCGACGTTGATGACATTTCGTCTGGAGCATCTCTCTTATGACCATGTAACTCCTCTCCTGGCCCATCTGCACTGGCTGGCTCTTTGCTTCTGGACCAA